ATTCCATAAACAATAATCAACCAAATGAGCAGGCTGTGTTAATTACAATTTTATTTACAAAACACACAAAGGGCCAGATTTGTCTCACAAGCTGTAGTCTGCCGACTACTGATCTAGTCTTTGTCTCAGTATGACCTAAATTAAATCAGCAGTAAAACAGAAATTATATTTAGTGACTCAACAAAGATGATCTGCCTACATAAGGCATTAATATCAGAACTTGTCTACACATATTATAGTTACAGAAAAAAGTATTGGGCAGTTTGACTAATTTGGGAGGGGTAAAGATCTGTTCACAAAGTTTTGGCCAATAATTCTGCTTGTTGACTGGAGAACATAGCCTCTATACTCTGTAAATGTGGATCACAGTCAGACCAGAGGTAGGGGATTTTTTTTTAAAGGTGATCAAACAAAATTCTACAGAAAAAGCCAGTAAAACAACAAAACAAACTGTTATTATCAGAGTTGAATATACCCTGTGTACTAAGTATATTAAAGGGACAAAATACTGCTTAAAGACTGCTATGTAAGTGAGAGTACCCACACCCTTAATACTTAAAAGTCCCTTGTATGAGACAAATAAAGAGCCATTGCCAAGTAAGCTGAAAAGATCTGTCAGGCCATGTTTCTAACAGTGGTAGTATAAGAATGGAAAAAAAGGTATAGAAAATATTATTAACTTACTCAAGTTTTCTGGAGTACGGGGAATTTGGTTCCTTTTAAGAAGGGGTTAGCAAACTAAAGAGTCAATTATTTCCTCTAATCTTTACTTCTTTTCCCTCAGAGAGCTGGGTGAATCAGATAAAACTGCCCTGGCAACCTAAAACAGAAAAGAAAAAATAAGCAAAAATCATCAAGCCATTGGTAAATCACAAAAAGCCCTAACAAGAGCAATAAGCACTTCACCGTCAGCACCCTCCCATAGAAGACAGACAAAAATACAACAATGAACTTCCCAGATAACTCTGTACAGATACATCCAGTAAAGTGAAATGGCAACAAAAGTATTTCCTCCTGATTGTAATCGGATAACACCATTATAAGAGAGAAGAGAATAGAATCTCTTATACTTGGGAAGATTTAGAGGCAGTTCTGAATGTGTATGACCTAAGTCCTATCTCACACATCTTGAGAATGACAACGTGTATCCACTAAAATGACCAGTTTTTTTCTATTAGCTTTTTAAAAATTTATGTTACATTTATTATAGAGATTAAATTAATATTTAACCATTTTCAGAGAAAGAATAGGTGAATTGCCCTGTTTCACGGTTAATATCCCCAATGCTCTGAAAAAGGACTAAACTACCTTAAAATTACCAGTTTTAAAGCAAGCAGATTCTTCTTAATTATTATCAATTTGCACAGTAACACCTCTGTTAACAAATAGAATACACTGTAACAATATATTTCTTTGCCAGAAAACTTATTATCAGATATAAATTAGTGAACAAACATAGAGATACATTCTAAAACAAAGAAAAGAAAGAACATAATATGAAATAGCACCTCTCTATTAACTAATTAGCATAAAACTGAAAACAAAAAACACACAAATGAAGTCTCTGCCTGCTGGCGTGGTGGGCTCACGTCTGTAATCCTAGCACTCTGGGAGGCCGAGGCGGGTGGATTGCTCCAGTCCAGCCTGAGCAAGAGCGAGACCCGTCTCACTATAAATAGAAGAAATTAATGGCCAACTAAAATATAGAAAAAATAGCCGGCATGGTGGCGCATGCCTGTAGTCCCAGCTACTTGGTGCTGAGGCAGCAGGATTGCTTGAGCCCAGGATTTGAGTGCTATGAGCTAGGCTGATGCCATAGCACTTACTCTAGCCTGGGCAAAAAGTGAACTCTGTCCTCAAAAAAAAAAAAAAAAACTATTTAGAGACTAGAGGGCAAGAGAGGGGGGGAAATATTTAGAGACCATGAAACTGATCATGTTACAAACAAGAAAAATGAACATCGAGTTCTCTTATTTGCACAATGCTTGTTCAGTTTGCTTGGGAATAGCAAAGGAGGGAACTCCAATACTCAAATTGTATCTACTATACAAAATTTTTCTTTCAGTATCTCAGGAATAAAAAGTAACTGATTTACTTTCTGGCTGCTTAAAAAAATTCAGGCAATGCAAAGGGATATTGTGGGAAACATTTAATAAAAATAATATTAGTGACTAGATTGAGTATTTAATTTGTATAATCTGAGTTCTGCAATATTGAACAATGGTAGTATTATGTGGTCACTTACCAGTGAAAAATAGCATAGCATTAAGCAACAGGGCTGGTTAGGATAATCAAGTTCATGAACAATGCATTTAATCACTTTTTAAATACTTAGGAAGCAAAAAGAATAAAACCTGTGCTCAATGACATAATATTGCATATTCTTTGATCTAATATTCAAATAAAGTGGAAGCTCAGGTAAGCAACAGACAATACTGACAAAGTATTTTAATAGAGCATAAACACTGGATAAATTTATCTAAAAATTTATGTAATAGTTAATCCCCAAAATACTTCACATATATTATTTTTATACTTCCAGATGATATTTACATAATGGAAAGAAGGTTCTAAACCATGGATGTACTCTTAATTAAATGAGTTTATATTAAATCTATTCCTACTTTTGGGGGGACCAATTTTGCTTTAATCATGATTTTTCTTATCTGTGACCTCCTTTCTCCCAAATTACCCCAGTTAATTAATAATTAACTTCATTTCACCTATGATCCCAACACCATTGAGAAAATAATAAATATGTCAGTATACTTATTACAATCTTTTCTAACCTCTTCTACCAAATAATCTTGCTCTTTTTGGAATGGATCATTTTTTTTGTCTGGCAGAGATCCTCCAAATGCACTACTTTCTGTATTCTTTGCAATATCTGATAATGGAGACTCTTCCACTTCAAATTCTGGTATTTTCTTAGAAATTGTTTCATTTTTCTCTTTGGGAGTTCTTATTTTCATGTCCTGAAGAAGAAAGACATGTTATATTAAAACCTTAATAACCATGGCTGATCTTAAAGCTGTCTGCATTAGAGGTTCACTGATTATCATGAACCTACAAAAGGTTAATATTATTATGAAAGTACATATTCACAGGCAGAATTAATTAATTCCAATATTCCCACTTAGAGAGAATGCATAAAGAGATATGGTAAAAAACGTGCAAAAACTGGAAAATGTGAAAATAGAAATTAAATTTAATTAAAACGAATAATATTTCATCATAACTTAGTATAGTCAAAATTATTTGAAAGTTGTTTTTTTCTCACCAAAAGGCAGCATTGATTGAAAATTATTTTAAAATGTACCTTTTCAAGTAGTAGAACGCTGTTTCTATCTGATGATGAATCTGGCTGCAACAGGGAAGAGTCAGGGCTAAAAGTGTAAAAGACAACAAATCCAAGTTATAAGTAGGAAAGAATTCCATTCACTTGATATATCTGAATATCCTAAAAAATAACTGTCTGCCCCGTATCTGTCCGTTACGATTTCACTCAATTCGTCCCGGTCATCAAAAGGCAGTTTATTCTAGGGAGGTATGGTGACAATTAGAGCAATACTTCAGCCCAATTTGTGTATCAGCCTCCCAATTATGAACATTTCACTTACCTGCTTTATATTCTTTTAAGTCAACAGTATTTTTTTGAGGGTTAAATGACTTGATGAACTTGAGTACAGGCTAGAAGCAAATTCAATTCAATTAATTAGAATTGCAGCCGGGCGAGGTGGCTCACACCTATAATCATAGCACTCTGGGAGGCCGAGGCAGGCGGCATTGCTCGAGGTCAGGAATTTGAAACCAGCCTGAGCAAGAGCGAGACCCCGTCTCTACTATAAATAGAAAGAAATCAATTGGCCAGCTAATATATATAGAAAAAATTAGCCGGGCATGGTGTCAGATGCCTGTAGTCCCAGCTACTCGGGAGGCTGAGGCAGTAGGGTCACTTGAGCCCAGGAGTTTGAGGCTGCTGTGAGATAGGCTGACGCCATGGTACTCACTCTAGCCTGGGCAACAAAGTGAGACTCTGTCTCAAAAATAAATAAATAAATAAATAAAATAAAAATAATTAGAATTGCATTATTACAATGTCCATGGAGTCCAAATCACAGAATTTGTTATTGCAGAGACTTAAAAACTTAAAGATTCTTTTGATATTTCATGTCTAAAATCCATTTCTTATATGCTAAATCTTGCTCTATAGCAAATGTGTTACACTTACAATAAAGTCAAAGTTATTCAGAGTTTTAGTCTGCTACACTCTGTATATTTCTTAATCTTTTAGATTTCCTTGCCTCTTTGGATAAATAGTAAAACCTTATTATGCATCTTTTCATGCTAATTATAAAATAAATTAGTAAATTTTTAAAAGTTTCAAAGAAATAACTTTAAAGAAACTATTTTATTTTGACTTTAAAAAATTCTTCAAAATTCAAAGACCAAAAGCTTTGCTACCCTAGGTAATATGCTTCCAACAGCAAGCATGTTGTTGCTTTGCTTTCTCTTCATAGCAAGAAGTACAAAAGTAATAACAATTAATAGTTCTGCAAATATTTTCTATAATTGCAAATATAATTTCCCAAACTTTTTCAAACATGCATTCTTAGAATCTTCACCTATCTTCCAAACATAATTCAAAATCACTGCAATTGCTCAAGCTTCAATTTAGCATTGGCAGGATATAATCCAGGTATCAAAGGCAAAGAATTAATCATCTATTGGGATTTTTGTCTTAATTTTTACAAAAACTTTACATTAAAATTATCAGAAAGCCTGCTAAAACAGAGCCAGCAATCTATGGACCAATGACACTAAGGTGTCACCATACGATGGTGAGGACAAAGGCTATGTCTTTCCCCATGGCTATTTCCAGGAGATAACAGTGCTTGGTAGTATAATTCATCTGTGTTAACTGTTGATGGACTAATGGAATCAATGAGTAAATATCAATTGAAGATGAGGTTCTACAGATGACAAGTGTTTCTATCTGAATCATTCTTGTGCAAATTTACAATAGAGAACAATGGAAACATTCTACACCCTCCTCTCTCTCATTTCTGAATTGGCAACATGCCATAGCCCTGCTAACATCACAATCCAAGACAACTACAAAGCAGCCCTAACTCAGTCCTTACTATCTATCCACTTGCCATGCCAAGATTGAGGCATGAAATCCTACCATTGCCACAGTTTATACCATGTTAATGTTTTTAAATTTTTATATTTTAGAATGTAAGATTCTATCAATGCTTTCATTAGAAGCAAATTTACATATGATTGTATACAAGGCCTAGCAAAATACTAGGTCTTCACAGAAGATTTCAGTATTTTTCTTTAGGTACTCAGAAAATGAGCATCAAATCCAGATATAAAAATAAAAATACAATTCTTCCATATATACTCCTGACTTCCTATGAACTGGAAAACTATTGCAGAAGCAACTTCTAAAACCTCAATTTCACATAAAAGTTTTGACTCTGGTTACAGCATTACAACTAATAAGAACATACAGAATAAAGAGTGCTTTTATTCATTTAAAATTTAGGATTATCTTTTATAATTTTCCTAAGTATTTTATTTTTATACCTATCCTTCACCTATAATAACTGGAGAAGTTGGACTGAAAGACATTCATTTAGGCCAAAGGGCAATCGAAAAATAATAACAACAGTAATGATAAAGGAACATATTCAGTAGTCTGTGTTGATTGCTACTTAAATAATGCTTAATTTCAATAGAGAACTAATATATTCCCTAAGTGGATTACATACATTTAGTTTAGAGATTTTTTTGTTTATATAATTTGGCATCAATCTAAAATGGGAACCAAGAAAACAGGCAATAAAGAAAACAGGAGTACTTCTGAAGGAAGTTAAACAAAGCAGGCTCCACTTTTTCATATGTTAAATTTAGGAGTTAGAATAAATCAGAAGTCTTCTAAGTTTTTTTTAAAACATGGAACTCTTTATCAAGTGGTTTATCAAAAACCCCAATATATAATACAGATAAAAAAGCAAGTGGGTACAGTGGTTCATGCCGTAATCCTAGTACCCTGGGAGGCCAAGGCTGGAGGATCACTTGAGGCCAGGAGTTCAAAACTAGCCTGAGGAAAAGTAAGACTCCTTCTCTAACAAAAATAGAAAAAATTAGCTGGCCATGGTAGTATGTGCCTGTAGTCCCAGATATTCGGAAGGCTGAGCCCAGGAGTTGGAAGTTGCAGTGAACTATGATGATGCCACTGCACTCTAGCCCAGGCAACAGAGCAAGACTCTGTCTCAAAAATAAAGAGCAAGCTCCTCAGGCTTAAGTGGAAAAGGGTAGGATAGGCCACAGGCTAAGTTAGACACGTCCTCAACACCAGAGGGCACTGCAGAATATAGTCTGAAAACTACCAGACTATATGATCTCAAAAGTCCCTGAACTCTTGGATTTTGTCAATAGTTAGAATGGTTTCAAAAAAAGGTCACACACACAAAACCAAAAATTCCCAATCTTGCAATAGATAATTTCCATATACAGTTTTTTTTCTTCAAAAATCTGATAACCCCCATAAAATCCAATATTTAGAAAAAGAATAGAAGGAAAACAATGTACCATGTGAAATCTTTTCCTGAATATGTGAGTCTACAGTAGAAAAATACTGTCAGATTAAGAGGAGAAATTATGGCTGAGCGTGGTGGCTGACGTCTGTAATCCTAGCACTCTGGGAGGCGGAGGCCAGAGGATCGCTTGAGGTTAGGAGTTCAAGACCAGCCTGAGCAAGAGTAAGACCCCGTCTCTACTAAAAATAGAAAGAAATTAGTCGGACGACTAAAAATATATAGAAAAAAATTAGCCAGGTATGGTGGTGCATGCCTGTAGTCCCAGCTACTTGGGAGGCCAAGGCAGTAGGATCGCTTGAGCCCAGGAGTTTGAGGTTGCTATGAGCTAGGCTGACCACATGGCACTCTAACCTGGGCAACACAGTGAGACTGTCTCAAAAAATAAAAAATAAAAAAGGGCCAGGCGTGGTGGCTCACGCCTGTAATCTTAGCACTCTGGGAGACCAAGGCAGGAGGATCGCTCAAGGTCAGGAGTTCGAAACCAGCCTGAGCAAGAGCGAGACCCCGTCTCTACTAAAAATAGAAAGAAATTAATTGGCCAACTAAAAATATATAGAAAAAATTAGCCGGGTATGGTGGCCTGTAGTCCCAGCTACTTGGGAGGCTGAGGCAGGAGGATTGCTTGAGCCCAGGAGTTTGAGGTTGCTGTGAGGTAGGCTGATGCCACGGCACTCTAGCCTAGGCAATAGAGTGAGACTCTGTCTCAAAAAAAAAGAGGAGAAATTATGCACTACCCTATAGTACAGAAGTTTGGAAATAGGCTTACAATATGACTAAAATTAATATAGAAAAAAAATCAACATGAAAATAAAATTTGTTTTACCTGTTGGCTAGATTATGCACAGCTCCCAAAGTATCACTGTCTATTCTGCAACCATTTTCTTGGTTATGTTGCTTAAGTGTATCTAAAGAAATAGAAAATGAATATTCTGAAATATAAAGATAAAAATAAAAAAATTCATCTTTAATTATGTTTGTACATGCCAATATTCAAGGATCTCTTAAAATTCTAGAACAACTTCCAAACAGAAGAAAACAGAAAAATCAGAATAATATGAACACTAATAGGAAAAGATAATTATTCAATTGCTAAGTGTAAAGTGATGGGCAGGAAAGTAATAGAGAATATCTAGTAGTAGGCTTTTATAAAAAGACTGATAGGCTCATGTTAAAGGAAGTTTCCCCAAAAAGTGACAGTCCATAATTCTCCAGTGTTATAAGCTTCACGTTTAAGTACACAGATTATGCAATTACTACATATGCCAGCAAGGCCAAAAAGTTACAGTATTTAGCATATTTCAGTGAAGCATTTATAGTATCAGTCAACCTACATATTTACTCACCAACCTCTCATTGAATAACTATGTACCACTATTATACTAACAATGGGAAAAAGAAAAAGAAAAAACTGACTCCCTCCAAGGAGTCAGTCTAGGAAAGACAGTAATTATACTGCTATAGCATTATGACAGAAGTATACACAAAATGCAGTATTTGCTTTACAGTACTTTGCCTGGAGCTCAAAGAACTATCAAACACTTCTAAAACAATGGACTTCCAACTGGACTTCCTAAACACACATATCTGCCCTCCATCTCAAGGCAGGTATAGAAATCTCCGAATGGGCCGGGTACGATGGCTCATGCCTGTAATCCTAGCACTCTGGGAGGCTGAGGCAGGTTGATTGCTCGAGGTCAGGAGATTAAAACAAGCCTGAGCAAGAGCGAGACACCATCTCTACTATAAATAGAAACAAATTAATTGGCCAACTAATATATATAGAAAAAAAAAAAATTAGCCGGACATGGTGGCACATGCCTGTAGTCCCAGCCACTTGGGAGGCTGAGGCAGCAGGATCGCTTGAGCCCAGGAGTTTGAGGTTGCTGTGAGCTAGGCTGACGCCATGGCACTCACTCTAGCCTGGGCAACAAAGCGAGACTCTGTCTCGAAAAAAAAAGAAATTTCCCAATGGACAGGCAGAGAATTCCATGAATTCCAAGGGCTTACGCTAAGCCTAGCAAGAGCCCTTTCCCAGATGAAATGAGAACACAGTGCCAATACAATGCCAAAAGCTATCAAAATAATTCTATTGACATAATCAAAGACTGTCCAAAGCTACCATGGAATCAGAATGTTCTATCTGAAGCACTTTCTCCTTCATCAAATCATGCAGCCTTTTCTGTGTCTACTCTCCTGGTTGCATATACCCTGGGCCTTGCTCTCTGGCCTATAATTTTTCCCAACCAGTGTCCTTCCCAACTACGCCTGACTCTCAGACCAATTTCCCTATCCCAGTGATTAAGTCCTGTGCTAACTGCCGTAATGATCTTTGGCTTACCTAAACTATGACCTACACCTATTACCTAGCTTCAATTTTGCTATATAATTTGTTCATTTTTTATTCATTCATTCCTCCAATTATCTATCTTCTATTTACTGAACCCAATTAAACTTTCTTATACACAACTACTGTGCAATTGAGCAAGCTAAATATGAAATATATATTCAATATTGTGGAAATATGAATCTAAGTGTGATAATGGTATGATAGTTGAAAAATTTGAATATGAGATATTACAAAATTATTATTAACTTTTTAGGTGTGATAATGGCATGACGGTTAATAGGAAAATCTCCTTATTTTTAAAGAAATGTATGCTGAAATACTTAAAGTGTCAATGTCTAGAATTTACTTAGTTTAGCCACACAATACATATATATATATACATATAAAGGATATATGGCCAGTGGTGTTTACAACTAATTGATCACAACCAGTTACAGATTCCTTTGTTCCTTCTCCACTCCCACTGCTCCACAAGGACATATGGCAAATGTTAACTATTGAAACAGGTGGTAGGTATTTAGGTTAATTATTGTACTACTCTTTCATGTTAAAAAAAATTGTGAGCTTCCACTCAAAAATTTGTACATGAGGAAGGGGTTTCCTTTTGAGATGATGAAAATGTTCTGGAACAAGATAGTGGTGATGACTGCACAACAGTGTGAATTTACTAAATGCCTCTGAGTTGTACACTTTGCAATGATTGAAATGGTGAATTTTATGCTATGTGAATTTCACCACACATATGGAATATATAAAAAATATATATGGAGGAAAAAAAAGAATATAAAAATCTATTATAATAATGGGAAATGACAGGAAGGAAGATTTAAAAGAGAAAAAGATAGATAACCAACCTTGAAGTGAAGCAGGATACTGGAAAAGAACACTCCTTGCATATACTTCTTCTGAGGCAGGATCAAAGGAGAGGGGAGACATAGGTGGTAAAAGATCCACAGCCTTAAAACAGAGAATTCACAATTTTAAAGTAAACACATTTGCTAATTACCACAATAACAATGCTAAGTTAATCTATGAATGGATGATTTTATTTTTCCCTAACGAAGACAGAGTTACCAAGAATATATCCTGTAACTATTTTTAAACCAAAGAGTACATAAAGAACAAGGGAACTACTTTGTCTTCCAACTATGTCTCAAATGTCACAGTACCTCATATCAAAAGGAAAGTCTTGTTTTCTTTTTAATACAATCCTCTGAATCTAAAAATATTAACTATAAAGGACAACAGGAGTTTACTGAATATTATATTATATATTCAGAAAACTTACATAAACCAAAACATGAACTTTAGGCTCAGGAGCAAAGATGGCAAATATATATACACATAGCATTTCTAGTCATTTATAACATGATAAATCAAGAGATTGCCATATAGTAAACTACTCTCCAAAAGTCAAGTCTACATTACTTACTGGAGATGAATTTTTAATTAGACTGAAAGGAGACAGACCAAGAAATTCTTTCCATTTCTTTTGCCATTCTCCTTGCTTTTCAACAATAGAATGTCTTATAGTCGTGAGATCTTCTTTTATTTTATACCTATGATAGCATTAAAAAAAACTTTATTTAAAACATGAAAACACAAAAAAGTATTGAGTAAAATTTAAGAAAGCAACAGCTGTAGGGAAGGGGAAGGAAATACACCTAAAATTCAACAAATAACAACACATATAAATTAAATAAATGCTCATAAGTGAAGATGTAGAACCTAAAATACTTTTTCTCCTTGTAAAACCAGAAAGCAATCATACATCTATTAGTATCTTTAAAATATAATTTTTTTCCTGGCTTTAAACTTTAGTCAGAATTTTACTTCCACTCTCTGTCTCTTCCTAAAAGCAACTCATACCTCCCAGTCTTTCTGCTCATTTCTGAGGCCCAGTTTTGTTATTGGACCCAATGAAAGAAAAACTAGAAAAAAGATCAAATTATTTCATAAAGAATTATCACTTGGGGCAAATCATTTACTCCATTAATTTTCCTTTCTACTTCATGTGTCTCTCTAGGAGTTGATTAAATAAGGCTTTGAGTACTAGTTAAATTCTCACATTTTTTTGACAAAGCTGAAGAGTTGTTAATTATACAAGAGTTGTACTGAGCAAACCACCCTACTCCTCCCACAGTAAAATAACAGAAGATCTTTCTAGTGTACCTCATATGCTTCAGATCTGATAATCTTTCCCTCTGAAATTTGGTCTCTTTTTCAAGATGGTGAAGGTCTATTGTCAATCTTGGTTGGTCAGCCTGACAACGTTCGTATTTCATTACTTTCAAGACTTCATTTAATAACTGAATAACTGTTAAGAGGTTCAATTTTCCAGCCTCATAAACATTTCCTATGTGCAACTAAGGATTCAGAGGGGAAAAACATGATGAACTATAGGTTCTTATGATTAAAAAAAGTATTATATATATTTATGTTTCTTATTATTATATAAAAAGTTTAGCTTAAAGAAAAGTGAAAAAATCAAAAATCCTCAAACATAAAACTACATAAATCATTTTGGTCCAGTGAAAACTACTATGGAATATTTAACATGCCATGATACATTTTTACATTATGCAAAAGGTTGAAAACTAGAATAAAAGAAATTCCAAATAGATGGAAAGAAAAATAAAGATTGAGTACAAAGAGCAGATTTGGAAAAAAGATCATCAATTTATTTATTAATAAAAGTTACAAATCGATGACCCCTAAAAGATACATACACATTGGACATGTTTATTTGGCCTACACGGTTGCAGTGTTTTAAAATCATTTGAATTAGTTGCCAATATTATGAATCATAGATTTCACATAAAAATTCCTATAGTAATTTTTTCCCAAAGACCTCATCACTTCCTACTTTCTCCCTATTGTTACATATAATTACAGGCTTCATTTATATTTATTACCTGCCTAGACCCTATAGGAATCTGAGTTTATACATCTTGATTTTCATGTACTCTGAATTTCATGTGCCTACCATGTTACATATTACAGTGAAAGCTGGCTGGGCACAGTGGCTCATGCTTGTGATTCCAGCACTTTGGGAGGCCAAAGCTGTAGGATCACTTGAGGTAAGAAGCTCGCGACCAAACTGAGCAAAACAGTGAGATCTCATCTCTACAAAAAATTTAAAAATTAGCCAGGTATGGCGGCATATACTTGTAGCCCTAGCTACTCTGGAAGCTGAGGCAAGAGGATCATTTGAGCCCAGAAGATGGAGAGTACAGCAACCTATGATCATGCCACTGTACTCCAGCCTGGGCAACAAAGCAAGACCTTGTCTCTAAATAAATAAAGTGAAAGCTCTTCAGAGTCACAAAAATATTTTACCTTTGTATCCCCTACATTATAATCAGTAACTACCAAATAGTAGATGCTTTATGAATTGTGCTTACTAAAAAAAATAATAAACCGGATGGAATTATTCCATGAGCAAGTGAAAATATTATATGGAGTTTGGGTTGAAGAGGAGAAACTGGCTGTTTAAGCCACAGAATTAGTAAGAAAATACAGATAAGTTTGTAATGAGGGAAAGAAAAAGAGGGCATTAAAACAACCATGGAAAATACTTTTGTTTAAAAGTTAGATAGAGAAAAAGGAACCAGTGGAAGAAAAAACTGAGAATAGCAGTCTGCAAGGAAAAGAAAAGCAGAGACATTGAGGTCACAAAGGAGGAAAAGACTAAAAGAAATGCTTAACAGCATCAAGATAAAAGAGAAAACAGATGATAGAGACTTTTTAAAAGAACATTTGGCAATCAGGAGATCACTGTTGTTCTCTTTGAGAATTTATAAAGAACTAGTATAGAATCATATTCCTACTAAGAAACCTCATACTCTCTACACTATATGATGTAGCACTATACAAGGCATGGACAATTAATAACAGTTGATATATACCTTTAATAGTACCCCTCTTTATGAAGACTTTACTAAGTATACTCACAAAAATAAATTCTGAAAGTAGTAGAAAAATATTGCAATAAAAACAATATATAAAATAATTACATGAAAGTTTTATCAAAAGCTTCCTTAATGTCAAATTCTTACCTGATACATTTGTTTCTCAATTTCATCAAGTAAGAGCCTTGGAATATTAATAACAACATTAGTTCCATCTAAAGCATACTGGTTAACAAGACTAAGGACTGAACTAACAACTTCTCTCTCTTTTTCCAAGAACGTGAGTTTTTCCTTCACTGAAGCCCACAAAGATCGAACCTTTCAAAACAGAAAAAGACAAAATATTCAAGTCCAGACATAATCTGTGCATATAGTAAGGAAATATAAATATAAATATATGTTCACTCCAAGTAATAAATGGAATATTCCTGAAATGATTTCTGGTGAGAAAATAAGTATATTTTAATAGTTTATTAAATTAAAAAAAAAGCACTCAGTGATATTACTTCCAAAGGGGCTTTAAAGAATTTATCAGGAGAATCTAGCTCATTATGATTTTCAAACAAATCTAAGAAACCTTATACCACTAATATACAATTAGCATTTCCTATATTCTGACATGCCATCAATCTAATGAAGATTTTTTTCAGGGAGAAATAATAAAAATATTTTTAAGGCTGGGCCTAATGGCTCATGTTTCTAATCCCAGCACCTTCAGAGTCCAAGGCGGGAGGATCACTGAGGCCAAGAATTCGAGACTAGCCTGAGCAAGAACAAGACCTCATCTCTACAAAAAATAGAAAAATTAGCCAAGCATGGTGGCATGTGCCTGTAGTCCCAACTCCTCAGGAAGCTGAGGCAGGAGGATCGCTTGAGTCCAGGAGTTTGAGGCTACAAACTATAACTATAATGATGCCACTGCAGTCTAGCTCAGGTGACAGAGCAAGAATCTGTCTCAGAAAAAAAAAAAAAAAAAAAAGATTTTTAATAAAAAAAATAATACTATGCCTCAATTTTAACTCATTCAGGTTTCAGAAAAGTTAAAATGTGAAAAAACAAATAAAAAAATAATTTAAAAAATGTGAAAAAACATGCTTTTTTTTTTTTTAGCTTTTTCTTTGAGACATAGCCTTGCTTTGTTGCCCGGGCTAGAGTGAGTACAGTAGCATCAGCCTAGCTCACAGCAACCTCAAACTCCTGGGCTCAAGCAATCCTTCTGCATCAGTCTCCCAAGTAGCTGGGACTACAGGCATGTGCCACCATGCCTGGCTAATTTTTTGTTTCATTTTTAGTTGACTGGCTAATTTTTTCTATTTTTAGTAGAGACAGGGGTCTCGCTCTTGCTCAGGCTGGTCTCAAATTCCTAAGCTCAAGCAATCCTCACGCCTCGGCCTCCCAGAGCTAGGATTACAGGTGTAAGCCACCACACCTGGCCAAAACATGCTTTTTTTAAAGCAAAAAACTTGGGCATACACTAACCTTTGTTCACTAAACTTCATGTACAAAAATATCCATAGAATTTCTATTTGTAATAGTCAAAAAGTAAAAATAACCCAAAGGTCCATCTAGAGTTTAAAAAGTATATTGGTGCTACATCCATAAAATAGAACACTACACAGCAATGAGAATATACTAAAACTACACACAACAGCATGGATAAACATCACAAACAATGTTGAGACAAAGAAGCCAGACACAAAACATATTTTACATACTCTCAATTATATAAAGTTCAAAAACAGACAAAATTAATCTTTAATGTAAGAAGTGAGGATAGTGGTTTCATTGTAAATGAAAAGAGATTCAAAGAGAATTCTGGAGTGTTAGTTAATATCCTATTCCTTATACCGAATACTGGTTACATGGCTGTGTTTACTTTGTGAAAATCTGTCAAGCTATATACACTTATGATTTGTGCACTTTTTGTATGCATGTTATGTTTCAATAGAAATTATAAAGTGGAAGGGAGTAGGATTCATGATAATTACATACATGTTAATGTCTATGTCTTCCTATGATACACATAAGATACTAAATATCTCTAATCAAAGTGTTGCATGGCAAGGTTAAAGTCCCCAAAGGAAGACTCATTGGCTGGCAGTCTAGAGATCTCACAGGATGGCATTTCCTTGATGAGTTTACAATCATCTAGCATCTGGTTCTCAGATTTGTCAAGTCTGGAATTTTATCTTGTCAATGGCTCCAAGTTGACTGGACTCAAGGAAAATGAACATTAACCAAACTAAGGAGAGACTGTTGTGAAAACTTTAATAGGTTTCATACCATCCTATTAAAATTGACAATCGGAGATACTACATTCAATAATAGGAATGTTCCCACTCACTAAATTGAAAGCTCCATGAAATAACTGACTTTGCCTATTTTCTTCACTGCTATAGCCCTAATATCTAGACGATGCCTGGCACATAGCAAGTGATCAATAAACATTCACGGAATGACCCTCCAAAATATGCTGAAATTTAAAAAATAAATTAATTAATTAATTAAAATAAATTTTAAAAAACATTCACTGAATGACCCCCATAATATGCTGAAATTAAAAATAAAAATAAATAAATTAAAAAAAAAACCATTCACTGAATGAAAATATTTCCTAAAAAGGACACTTACCTTTACCAGTGCAAAGGTGCATGGGAAGCCAAATTAATACTCAAAGCAGCTTGGTGATGATAGAATCACAACAAAGAGCTTGAGAGAGATTTCACCCAAACAAAAAGAAAGCCTAAGAAAATACTCCTCTCCCACATCAAAGCCAACCTCTAGAAGTCTCAGATCATTAACATTTGCCAGGTTCCTCCTCAAATTAGCTTCCATTTGATTCCTCATTTTTCTTCCATACTTACTATCTCCCTTTAGTTAATATATTTTATTTACACAAGGTAATGCCACTGATTAAGTTACAATCAAGGAGAAATTTTCATGCTGGCATGAAGAATTTTAAATTAATCATATTTAAGCCATTTTTGTATATGCTTAAATCTTATAAATTATAACCTAATTTTTTATTATATTCAAGTATCTTAGAGACACCCTATTAATATCTATAGATGTAGATAACCTATAATGAATGGGGAAGGTAATAATACTATAAAAAGACATGGCAAATACACCATAAGAGTCACACTGATTAAGTAAACACTGCATATCACAAAAGCAAGAAACATTAAATTTTTCCATCCAAAAGTTGTCTCACCTTTTGAATTTTCTCTTGTATATTACTTTGGTCATCACAGGGTCCCATTCTAGTAAAAATTAAATAATCTGATTAATCATAAGAAAATTACATGGTAATTTAACAGCCAACAACTAATTTGTCTACAAACCTACTCACTAACAACCATTCCTATTAAAAACAAAAAATAAAATTTAAGGCCAGGCATGGTGGTTCATGCCAGTAATCCTAATACTTTGGGAGGCTGAGGAGGAAGGACTTCTTGAGCCCAGGAGTTCAAGACCAGCCTGGGCAATGTAGTGAGACACCATCTCTATAAAAAATTTAAAAGTAAGCTGGGCATGATGGTGCATGTCTATAATCCCAGCTACTTGGGAGGCTGAGGCAGGAGGATTGCTTGAACCCAGGAGTTTGATGTTGCAGTGAGCTATGATGATGCCATTGTACTCTAGGCTGGACAACAGAGTAAGATTCTATCTCAAAAAAAAAAAAAAAAATGTAAGACCAAAGCGATAATAATTTATTAGAAGGAAAACTGGACTATGCTCTAGTCCTATCATAATCTGGCTATAGATACATTATTTTATGTTTCTGGGACTCTCTTTTCCTCAACTATAAAATGCAAGAGCTAAACTAATATCTAAGGCACCTTCCAGCTCTAAAAGTCACTTACGTTTTTATTTGATTTTGCAGTCCTATATATTCAGACCTTGAATTTCGTACTTGCTTAACTGATAACCTGCAATAAAACATACACAATGACAACTATAATTCCATTATAACTCACTTAATAGTATAGCCCACTTTGATATTTTCCCTTTTCACATTTTTGCTCAAGGCCTCTAGGGTCGCCCGACAGCTAGCTAACAGACTTTAGAGTCCCTTTAACAGGCAGGCACACAAGTGATCTAACATACAGGCTGCTACTGAGATGGACTAGGACTTCTAGGCTAGTATGTTCTCTGACTTCTCTGAACAGAATGTTGGAGGTCGATAAGACTATTATCCTTGTCTCACATACCTGGGGGTAAATTTAAATCTATAAGTCAGACAACATGTCATTTTTAAGGTAATTTCAAAGGATTCGGTAGCTTTAGTAACAGATTACAAAGCATTTAAAAAGTTATTCTACTGTAGTTTATAACCAAAAAGTTAGATACAACCTATTCTATGAGAGTAAGAACCTTGCCTGTCTTATTTAATGCTGTAGTAACAGTGCCTAAACAATATGTAGCACATAGAAGAAACTCCAAAAAAAAAAGTTTGCTGAATAGATGAACATAGATATATAATAGTATAAAACGTTAAAGAAATAATGGAATACCTACTTGAAGGAATATCTATTTAATGCAATATCTAATCCACAGTCTATTAAATAGACATTTAAAGTAATATACTGTAACAACATGGAAAAAATTATAGAATGAAATTTCAAGATAAAAGATGTTTTTAATTTAAAAAAGATTTAAAAAGATACACCAGCCTGAGCAAGAGCGAGACCCCATCTCTACTAAAAAAAAGAAAGAAATTGGCTGGACAACTAAAAATTATAGAAAAAATTAGCCGGGCATGGTGGCACATGCCTGTAGTCCCAGCTACTCGGGAGGCTGAGGCAGCAGGATCATTTGAGCCCAGGAGTTTGAGGTTGCTGTGAGCTAGGCTGATGCCACAGCACTCTAGCCCAGGCAACAGAGTGAGACTCTGTCTCAAAAAAAAAAAAAAAAAAGATTAAAAAAGATACAAAATAGAAGGAACACTACAATCACAGCTTAAAAATATATTTTCCTTATAAAAAAAGAAAAAGCACATAAGAAAATTGAATTTTCTGAACCAAAGCCATCTTTTCCTTTTCTCTGAACTTTCCTTTATAGTATACCTAAAGTTTTAAAATATTTTATTCAGAAATTATTTGGCTTTAAAATGGAAAGATCTGTAACCTAAACGTTTGTACAAATATGCTGAAAGAAAAAAGAAAAAAAATAAAGTGGAAAGATCTTTAAGGAAGATTTATAAGGTAGCATGGATTATTTCTACAGAAGTTATGTTGATGACATTTGTTCAAAAAGAAAGGAATTATTTTCTATCAAAGTATTACTTACTGTATATATTCCTGATATTTTTGGATAACATAATCTTCTCTTTGTAAAATTTGTAAAAATCTGTTACGTGCTACATGGCACCTGGCAAGGCATTTGTGCAAATCTTGTGGCTTTACATTAAATGCCTCTGTAAAACGTAGAGAAGAATCTACATGGAACACAAATAAGATCAGAGGAAATAGATTTATAAGCTAATAATTATCAAAAATGTCGAATTTTTATTTTAAGAAATTAACATCATTCTATAACTTGTTTGACTTAAAAAAAAAAAAAAAAGAAATTAACATCAAATAACAACTCCTTAAAAGCTAGTATGCCACATACTTTAAAAGATATAACTAATGCTAACAAAAGATGACCTTTTTTTAAAGTAAGCAACTAAAAAAGGCTATTTAAAGTTGAGTTGTTTTACATAATTAAAAATTTCCAGAGTACATCTGCCCAAAGTAATTCTTATTATATTATAATTTGAGATATCCATGAACAAATACATTGTTACACATGAGCCACTATATTTCCTAACAGGATTTTTTAACAACAAAGGAAGAAAGCCAATTCAAAGAGAGGAGGTGAGATCACATCACCTCCATTGCTGCCATCGGCTTACTCTTCCTCACAATAAGAACAACAGGACAGGACAACCAAATAAAACCATTCTCCATTTCTCAAGCAATTCTTGGCTATGTAACTAACGACCAAAGTAGACCCTGAGAACAATCCATGTAAACATTTGAGTCCAGATTTTTACCTGTAAAAAATGTAATAAATCCTACTTTAACATGGCTCAATATAATAAAAATATGGGTAAATCTGGAAATTAGGGATACCACACTACACTTAACATTGTTTATTCAGGTCCTAATGTTACCCCAAAGAAACCACCACAATTTCTTAATATTTAACAGGAAATGAGTTCACTGAATTTTGATATCACTTATAAATTAAACAAGTTGACTAGAATTGCTTTAAATCGAAAATAGGAAAATCCATGCTTAAATGCGTTATACACAATAAATCCTTGTTAAATCCAAACACACATATTTCATATAAAATAGTTTGGGTTACATGTATTTGGGGCAGATCATCTAATAGAGGAACTGAAAAAATCTTTATGTTAACATTAAATTTTAAATATGCAAATTTTATAAAGCATGATCACATGCATGTTCATAAAAATCATGCATAAGATAAACTGGAAGAAAAGGTTTTATATCAATCACATCACAGAGAAAGAATAAATAAGAGCCACTACAAATGAAAAAGACCAATAACTTAAAAGAAAAATGGACAAAAGGTAATGATCAGAGTACAAAAAGAGTACAAATTGCTCTTAAACATATGAAACAATTTTCAACCTCACTAATAATAAGAGATACAAAGTGAAATTACACTGAGATTCCATTTTAACTATCAGACTGAAAAGACAAAAATATCTCATCACATACTATGTTGATCAGCCTTTGGGAAAATAAACACTCTCAATACACTGGTGATGAAAGTATAAATTGTCCAACCCCTACAAAATATCATCTGGTAATAACTAGCAAATTACAAACACATAGCTCCTTTGACCAAACAAACCATCTTTCAGGATTTATACACACACACACACACACACACACACACACACTCTTGAATATATACAAATTGATGTATGTATAAAATGTGTACTGTAGCATTGTTTCTATAGCAAAAGATTAGGAAAAAAAGCCAAATGTCTATCAACACAAGACTGATTAAATAAATTATGGACTGAGCACGGTGGCTCAGGCTTGTAATCCTAGTGCTTCGGGAGGCCAAGGCAGAAGAACTGCTTGAGGTCAGGCATTCAAGATCAGCTTGGGTAACATTGCAAGACCCCCAATTTAAAATTAGATAGGTATCATGGTGTGTGACAGAGTGAGCCCATGTCCCTAAAAAAAAAATAAGATATAAATAAAAAATTAGGGTACATACATTCAATGTAATATTATGCAGTTCTAAAGAGAAAGAATCAGAATAAGGAAACTCTGTGGGCCAGGCACAGTGGCTCACTCCTGTAATTCTAGCACTCTGGGAGGCCTAGGCGGGCGGATGACTCAAGGTCAGGAGTTCGAAATCAGCCTGAGCAAGAGTAAGAGCCCATCTCTACTAAAAATAGAAAGAAATTAATTGGTCAACTAAAAATATATAAAAAAACTTAGCCAGGCATGGTGGCACATGCTTGTAGTCCCAGCTATTTGGGAGGCTGAGGCAGGATTGCCTGAGCCCAGGAGTTTGAGGTTGCTGTGAGCTAGGTTGATGCCATGGCACTCCAGCCCAGGCAACAAAGTGAGACTCTGTCTCAAAAAAAATGGGGGGAAGCTCTGTGAACTGTTAAGAAATGATCTCCAAGATATACTGTTAAGTGAAAAAAGATTCAAAACTACTTATGATTGTTTTAAAAAAGAATATATACATATATTTGCTTGTATTATTGATTAATATGTTGCTTCTGGAAAGAGAAACTCGGTAGAGAACAGAGGCGGAAGAAAGACTTTTCACCTTTTGATTTTTGATCCATAAGGATATATATTATTATTTTTAGTTTTTTTGAGACAGAGTCTCACTCTGTTGCCCGGGCTAGAGTGCCGTGGCTTCAGCCTAGCTCACAGCAACCTCAAACTCCCGGGCTCAAGCAATCCTTCTGCCTCAGCCTCCTGAGTAGCTGGGACTACAGGCATGCATCACCATGCCTGGCTAACTTTTTCTATATATTTTTAGTTGTCCAGCCAATTTCTTTCTATTTTTTTAGTAGAGACAGGGTCTCGCTCTTGCTCAGGCTGATCTCGAACTCCTGAGCTCAAATGATCCTTCCACTTCGGCCTCCCAGAGTGTTAGGATTACAGGTGTGAGCCACCACGCCAGGCCCAATAATATGTATTATATGTACCAAAAAGAAAAACTAAAAGGAACTAAACCAAAATGTCAACAAATTATTGTTTCAGGAGTATTTCAACTTCTCTGTCATTTTTCTTTCCATGTTTTATGAGCAAAAACCAATTAAATAAAACAGCATATTTAATAAACTATAAATAGCATTCTTTTAAATATTAGCTTTGAAAATCCAATTTTTGTTTCTATGAATTAATAAATCAAATCTTTAACACAGAAATTTCCAGTACATTGCCAATAACCAAAATAAAATCTCAAACACATTCAACACAGCATTTAACACAATGTATTAGAGGCCAACCATAACTTGCAGGTCTAATTTGGTCCATTGGCTATTTTTGAGAGTCTAGCAAGGCAGGAATGGTTTCTCCATTTTTAAAGGATTGTAAAAATAAAAAAATAAAGAGGATTATGTGACAGAGGCCCTATATGTGGTTCACAAATCCTAAAATATTTACTATCTGGCCTTATATAGACATTGCTTCTCAACTCCTGTACTAGAACATAATAAAAATGTAAAAAGTAACTTAGGTTCATTACGAGAAAATTTCAAACTATGGTTCAAATAAAATATTAGCCATTTGCTCTTTGAGGTAAATTAATGTTTTAACTTACCTTGCTTTATTAAAAATCTCTTGATTTAAAAATCATAAAGAACTATACAAATTTAAGAATCAAACCAAAAAAATTCTATTAGCTTAACTTACCTTTAGAATTGGTTTTAATATATTTTATTGCAACATATCTTGCAAAATAATACATCAGATGAATAAACTTAGGACCACCAGGAGAAAGAAATAGTGAACCAACAACTTGAGGAAAGCTACTTCCATATTCAGCCTATGGAGAAAAGAGATAAAATGATTTGATGACCATATCAACAACTCTTATATTTATATCACACCATTTTTTTTTAAGGACATGACAATCTTACAGTAGATGACGTGCATGTACATGAGCACCCACTGATGGGTGGTGACAGCTCACCAGTGCCTCTTTGCAGCACAGTAGCTTGGACATGTCCTATTCTGTAGCAAAGAGGAAACAGTCCAAAGAGGTAATGTGTTGGTGAGTCACCAGCCCCAGCCCACTCCCTCTTTACATCAGACTATTTTTGAAGCATTAAAGGACTTGATTAGGATTATTCTGTTTGGATCAAAAGTTTAATTTCTTTTGTTTTTCTAAACACTAGGTGGACTGGGTCACAAAAAACAATTATAATAATAAAGCCACAATTATTGATACTATTTGGGGAAACAAGCTAAAATAACCTATGGTCAGAAAAGTTTTATTTAAATGAAAACTGTGATATAAACTCCCAGGAACTCTAAAATCTATTTCCTGTGCACCTGGCCAACAAAGTTCATTTCTTAGAAATTTCAAAAATCCCAACCAAAAATCATAAAAAAATTATTCTAACTAATATTTCTTTGCTTGTATTGTTAGCATAAAAGCATTAAAAAAATTTCACCTCTAAAAAATTAATGCAGTCTTTAACCTCTTATAGCGTACATCTTTCAAAAAAGAATACGTACAGAAATCCTTTTTAACCATTCACAGCAATGTTTCCGGAATTCAGCATCACCTTTTTGGTCAAATGGAGGCCAACAAAATCTTAAAATAAAAGCATTAGAATTAGGAACAACAAAAAAAAACAAAACTGAACTCAGAAAATTTTTTAAAATATCAAACTTATTTCTTAAACTAGATATATTAAAGCTAAATGAATTAAGGCAAATATTCTCAGATTTCACCTGTATCTTTTTCTTCATAAATATATATAGAATTGAGTTCAGTTTAGTGCAAATAACTAATGAAAATATACACTATATGACAGAATTAACAGCTATTAAAATTAATGAAAATCATCTAAAGAAAAGTCAACACTCTCAATGGATACACTGGACTAATGCAAAAAGATGACATAAATTATAAAATTAAGCCTAAAAACAATAGAATCATGCAGGAGAGAAACATAAATGGATATATATGGTGAGCAGAGAAGGATTGGCATGATAGAGTATGACTCCTAGAGATAACCCATATCAGTCTGTGGGTGCTACTGTTTTGTAGCTAAACAACAAGACACAAAAACACAAAAAAGACAAGTTTTGTTCAGCTTTGGTCAAAAATATCAGACTTTAAAATGTACCTATTTCTTTCCCCTGATAATCAGCTTTGCCCAAATTTTTATTCTGAGGCATAATATTCAGGCCTCATGCTTTTATATTTCTATAACACATGTTCAATATTCCTAGAAAAAATTAAGTACGCATAGCAAAATTTAAAAAATAAAGGCAAGAATGTCACCAGTGATATTCTCTGGTTGGTGGGTTTGCAAATGATTTCTACTTCCTTCTTTACATTTTTCTGCATTTTCTAAATTACTTAAAATGAGCCATAATGCTCATAATCAGGAAAAAAAAACCAAAAAAATCTATTTTTATTTGGACAGAGGAAGCCCTATTCCCTAATAATAGGAATTTCCAAAAAAATGTTCCAAATATACTTGTTTTCCTGGGCACTCATAATTTTAAATAAAGGCAAAATATTAAGAATAAATTATCAAAAATACAATTAAGCTGATCCAAAGACAGTGAGTTATCTCAATTTATTGTTCAGTCAGTTACAAATCGAACTCATTTGACTCCTTCCTCCTTTCTCGCTTTATTGCACTTGATGAGTCTTAAAAAATAAAAATGAAAGTAATGCCCTAAATAATAGATTTACCTGTTGCTTTTCTATATAAGAGGCTGATGGCACAATATAAATATCAAAATAAATGTGAACACTTTCAGAGATAAGAACCCCAAATCACATGTAAAATAACTTAGAACCAAGACTAGTGGGTATTCACATATTTTTATCTTCTTCTTAAACTATTTATTATATATATACATAACAATAGGCTAAATTTAATAAGAATAATTTTTGCCTACAGCAACTGACACTTTTATATATACATATAGATAGCTAAATACAGATATATGTATCTCACTAAAAAAACTAAGGATTTACAGACAACTGCAAAATTTAACAAGCAGGGAAAAACTGAGTATCTATACAGAATGATATCAGTTAATTGTTGTGCCTAATAATTAAGACCATGAAGAATGTAAGGAATCAATTTTATGAAACAAAACCTTTATTACCAATAAAATGAACAATAATTTTAAGATATGTAACAAAGAAAAACCACTCAGATTTATAAAGGTTAAGCACTGTATTTGTAAGATTCATTTTATAGTAGAGACTAAATTTTATAATATTAACTCAAAACAATACTCAAAGGCCAAATTGCAATTCTGGCTTATATCAGGGCACAGTCCATTTCAAATTTGAGAATAAAAATTGCTTTTCCTTACTTGAAAACTTCTTTGGTGAGAGACTGGTCCAGAGTTTGAAATAAAAAATAAGAAACTATATGAAAGGCATCACGGTTCAGCTTGTCAAACATGTTCCTAGTGATTAAAATCGTAACATAAGAAAAAGGAAAGGAAAATGGTTATTTAAATAAATATCAACAAAAGCTATGTGAGAATTTGACACAAAGTAGTTTTTCATTCCCTTCAAGAGATAAAGGCAAATTAATTTTTCTCATTCATGTACATTATATAACTAATTAAAAAATATACAATTATCACGCCTGTAATCCTAGCACTCTGGGAGGCCAAGGCGGGCAGATTGCTTGAGGTCAGGAGCTCGAAACCAGCCTGAGACCCCATCTCTACCAAAAATAGAAAGAAATTAATTGACCAACTAAAAATATATATACAAAAAATTAGCTGGGCATGGTGGTGCATGTCTGTAGTCCCAGCTACTTGGGAGGCTGAGGCAGTAGATCGCTGAGCCCAGGAGACTGAGGTTGCTGTGAGCCAGGCTGACGCCACGGCACTCACTCTAGCCTGGGCAAGAAAGTGAGACTCTTGTCTCAAAAAAAAAAAAAAAAACATACAATAAGCTTTTATTTTCTGATTTTGAAAATACAGATCCAATAGAAGAAAACTGGCAGCACTTGCTTTGTTGCAATGAAAACATTTAATAGGAAGAAAAAGAAAACCTAATTAGGCAGAGAACCATCATGATAGGATGACGATGATATCAACCAACATTTACTGAATAACAATGAAAATAGCTAACATTTATTGAGAGTTTATTTTACAAGCATTATTTTAAGCCTTTTTATAGGCAGTAAACTCATCTAATCTTCATCTAATCTTATTTATTTAATCCTAATGACACTACATAGTAGTTTGATTATCCTCATTATACAGATGAGGAAACTTAAAATAAAAAGGTTAATTTGCCCAAAATCATGTAACCAGAAAGTGGAAAAGCACTAATTTGAAATATGTCACCTGACCCCAAAGTCCAAGGTTTTTACTGCTAGATTTTATTCCCAGAACCATCCTTATAATGTAATTCTAGCAAATCCCTTAAGAGTTTTTATTGTTCCAATTATGCTAATCAATCAAGACAAAGCCCAGAAAAACAAAAACACACACAATGTGAAAAAAAAAAACCCACTAAATTCTATAGGAAATGTCACACAGTTTATAAGAAATCAAGAGTTAACATAAAAGGCAAGGCATCAAATTTATTTCAAAGGAATCAAATCAAGCAAACTTTTGACTTAAGTTCCCATGCCTATTTATATGTCAAACAACTCCTTTGTCCTCAAAATGTCTCAAGGAACACCAATGAAGTTTCATCCATCCTACCTCATTACCATCTTTTTCTCTTTTTTTTTTTTTTGAGACACAGAGTCTCACTTTGTTGCCTAGGCTAGAGTGCCATGGCATCAGCCTAACTCACAGCAACCTCAAACTCCTAGGCTCAAGCGATCCTTCTGCCTAAGCCTCCCAAGTAGCTGGGACTACAGGCATGGGCCAACATGCCCAGCTAATTTTTTCTTTCTTTCTTTTTTTCTTTCTTTTTTTGTTTCTTCTTTTTTCTTTTCTTTCCTTTTCTTTTCTTTTCTTTCTTTCTTTCTTTCCTTTCTTTCTTTCTTTCTCCTTCCTTCCTTCCTTTCCTTCTTTCTTTCTTTCTCTCTCTCTTCTTTCTTTCTTTCTTTCTTTCTTTCTTTCTTTCTTTCTATCTATCTATCTATCTATCTATCTTTATTTATTTATTTTTTAGTTGTTCAGCTAATTTCTTTCTATTTTTAGTAGACACAGGGGTCTCGCTCTTGCTCAGGCTGGTCTCAAACTCCAGACCTTGAGTGATCCTCCCGCCTAGGCCTCCCAGAGTGGTAGGATTACAGGTGTGAGCCATTATGCCCTACCTCACTACCTTCTCTTAAACCTGTTATTTTTTCACTTACTACTTTGTTCTCTTCTCTTTGAAAATTATTATAATAAATAATAAGATTATTTGTTGAATATGTGTTCACCCACTAGACTAAAATTCTATAAGGTAAAAGTTTATATCTATTCTCTTCTCCACTACATACTGTCCAATACTATTCTTAATAAGTATTTGTTGAATTAACAAATGAATGAATTGACTCTTCTTTTTATTTCCACTGCAACCTTAGTTCATAGATAACTGCAATATCCTTCTTTCTCTTCTAGCCATTCTCTGTATTACAACCATATCATTTTTCCAAAATGCAAGCCTTCTGAGCAAATACCTTGGAATGGAATTGCTGGATCATATATAAAGCATATGTCTAACTTTATTAAGAAAAGTGGTTACACAACTACATGCTACAGAAACCAGAAACTCATAGAACTGCAAACCAAAAAGAATTTTACCATATATAAACATAAGTGAATAAAAAAATAATGTTTTAAGTAAATTTATTGCTACATTCACACTTAAAGCATTTTAAAGGAGACATCTGTTTCAAGATGATAGATACTGTGGAGAATAGGGAATGCTCATATACTCTTGGTAGGAATGTAAAGTATTATAGTCATTATGGAAAACCGTATAAAGGCTCCTCAAAAAACTAATAATAACTGAAATAAAAAAAAAATTATAAAAAAAAAAAAACACCTAAAAATAGAACTACCATATGATCCAACAATCTCACTGCTGGGTATATATCCAAAAAAAAAAAAAAAAAAAGGAAATCAGTATATCAAGGAGATAACTATACTCCCATGTCTACTGTAGCACTATTCACAATAGCTAAGATATGGAATCAACCTAAGTGTCTATCAACAGATGAATGGCTTTAAAAATATATATATGGTGTATATATATACAATGGATTATTATTTAGCCATAAAAAAATAAAATAAACTCCTGTCATTTGCAGCAACATGGATGGAACTATAAGTCATTATGTTAAGTGAAATAAGTCAGGCATAGAAACATAAATATCACATGTTCTCACTCATGTGGGGGCTAAAAAAGTGGCTCTCAGGGAGGTATAGAGTAGAGTGGTAGTTACCAAAGACTAGAAAGGGAAGGGGCAGGAGAGAAGAAGTTGGTTAATGGGTACAAAAATACAGTTAGATAGATTAAGTTGTGTTCAATAGTGCAGTAGGGAAACTGCAGTTAGTAATTTATTGTACAGCCAGGCACAGTGACTCACACCTGTAATCCTAGCACTCTGGGAGGCAGAGGTGAGAGGATTGCTTGAGGTCAGGAGTTAAGAGACCAGCCTGAGCAAGAGCAAGACCCTGTCTTTACTAAAACTAGAAAAACAGAAAAAAATTAGACAAGCATGGTGGTGTTCACCTAGAGTCCCAACTATTTGGCAGGCTGAGACAGGAGGATGACTTGAGCCTAGGAGTTTGAGGTGGCTATGGGCTGATGCCATGGTACTGCAGCCTGGTCAACAGAGTGAGATTTTGTCTTCAAAATAATAATAATAATAGTAATTTATTGTACATTTCAAAATAGCTAGAAGAATTGTAGGCAGGCATAGTGGCTCCAGCCTGTAATTTCAGCACTTTGGGAGGCCAAAGCAGGAGGATTGCTTGAGGCCATAAGTTCAAAACCAGCCTGGGCACCAGAGTGAGATCCCATCTCTACAAAAAATTTAAAAAATTATTAATAGCTGGGCATGTTGGCATGCAACTATATTCCTAGCTACTAGCAAGGTTAGGGCATGAGAATCATCTGAGCCCAGGAGCTCAAGGCTAAAATGAGCTTTAATCACACTACTATACTGCAGCCTGGGAAGCAGAGAAAGTGTCTCAGAGAAAAAAAAAAATTAAAAAAAAAAAAAGAAGAATTGTAATGTTCTCAACAAAAAAAAAAAAAAGGGAAAATATCTGAGGTGATGGATATCCCCATTATCCTTATTTGACTTGATCATTACATTATATATGTATCGAAATATTGCATGTACCCCAAAAATACAAACTATAATACATCAATAAAATAAACAAACAAACAAAAACAACAACAAAAAGATGGTGGATCCCTCCCAATAATCCAATGAAATGACTCTATAGATAGGGGCAAATCATCTATGACTGTGTTGAAAAAAAAGAAAAACTGCCATCACTAAACCAGGACTTTATAGATTTTAACAAATTTTCTAAGGCAGACAGCAGATTGCAATTGTATTGACAGATAAACCACAATAGAATACTACGACTGCCAAAACCCAGAAAAGAAGGATGCAGTGGCAATGAAAGCTATTCTCAATGGAGCCCTTAAGAAGCATCAAACTTCTCTGCCAGTCCAGAGAAAATGAGACTGTGCTGGGGGCACCAAATCATGTGAAATAAACAATAAACACATCATAACCTGATAAATGCTATCCATTGGCAGCCAATATCTAGAACAGACTTCTGGACAAAGCACTTCATATGATAATAACTTCTAAAAAATAATTATCAAACAAAACTTAATTACAGCTCTCAACCTTGACAGTAAAAGTTACAATACAGCTGAAGTCAAGAGGGTGAAGGCAGAGGAGACCAGCTAATTGAATGAACCAATAGCTTCATTCATTATAAGATTTCATTGTGAAATTACATAGTAGGGAATCAAAAAATACTTTTGATAGCCTAGAGGACCCAGGTTAAAAAAAAAAAAAAAAAAATACTTTTGAGAGCCGGGAGCGGTGGCTCACGCCTGTAATCCTAGCACTCTGGGAGGCCAAGGCAGGCGGATTGCTCGAGGTCGGGAGTTCCAAATCAGCCTGAGCGAGACCCCGTCTCTACTAAAAATAGAAAGAAATTAATTGACCAACTAAAAAATATATATATACACAAAAAATTAGCCAGGCATGGTGGCGCGTGCCTGTAGTCCCAGCTACTTGGGAGGCTGAGGCAGCAGGATTACTTGAGCCCAGGAGTTTGAGGTTGCTGTGAGCTAGGCTGACGCCACGGCACTCACTCTAGCCTGGACAACAAAGTGAGACTCTGTCTCAAAAAAAAAAAAAAAAAATACTTTTGAGTATTTTGGCTCAGGCCTGTAATCCTAGCACTCTGGGAGGCTGAGGTGGGAGGACTACTTGAGCTCAGGAGTTTGAGACCAGCCTGAGCATGAGTAAGACCATGCCTCTATATTTAAAAAAAAAAAATACTTTTGAGATCGACAAGTCAAGAAATAGAGGTCAAAGCACATTATGAAAACACAGCCACTGGAAGAAGTGAAATTATATAATTTACAAAACTCAAACAGATTGAGAATAGAAGATGGCCAATGTATCCCAAATTCCCGTTGGCCTACAGTAGGGAAAACAGATATTTCTAAAGTTACAAAGTTAAGACCCAGAAATATAAACAAAGTATTCAGATTTATGGCCACAGCCTTAAAGAAGTAGCAAAAGTAGAGAAGAAACTCTTGCTTTTCATGCTTTTCATTAAGAAGGCATTACTTTTTAAACATCCCTTTCTACAGTTTTTTGCTATTTGTGGCGGCATGCGTTAGTTTCCCAACTCAAAAAGTAAAACTTCTGAAGTTAAACCACCACCTTCAAAGGCTCCCTTGAGTCCTAAAGGCGTTTACCCTTCCACTACCAACTAACCACGCCCGGCCCCACTACTTCACAGACCACCCCCACTTAAAACTGCCCCTCCAGTTTTGCCCGGACTACAGACTCTACTCCCCGGCAAAGCGCTTCCGGCACCGTCCCACCGTCCCGAAACTGATACTGCCAGTGCCACCACGCTAGCAGCTCCTGGGAGCAGTGCTGACCCACAGTAATCGCCGCGGGGTCTGCGGAAGGGCGGGTCACCCCTGGTCTCCCGGCCCGGACTCCCTCGCCCCGCCTGCCCCGGCCTCCTCGGCCTCCTTACACTCCAAGGTGTGTGTGCGACACGATCTTTCCGCAGGCAATGGTCGCAGGGCCTGGCTCGAAGTTGAGCGCCTGCAGATACATCCAGAGATGCTCCTTTTCGAAAGAGGTGCCCAAGGCAAAGCTCATCCTCGCGGTAGGCACGGAGACTGAAAGGAAACAAAGAGCACGCCCAAGCGAATCTGAGGGCCCTCAGGATCCCTCCCTACGGGCAGCCTGAGGTCGCGGCGGTCCCTCCATGGCCACCGCCTGCTCCTCCCTAGTCTGGAGCTGTTTCGCCTCAAAGGGCTGTAAAGTCTCCGGGAAATGGAGCCTCTAACGGTAGCGGGGCCACAGCAGCCTAAGAGAAACCACCACAAACCGAGACTCCCGCGCTTAAGGAAGAGCAATGTGCGCCTGCGCCGCTAGGCTTCCAGGGGAGGCGGGACTTCCTGGAGGACTATATCTCCCGCCATGCTGCGCGCACTTCCCTCTGTCCCTCTCAGTCAGGCCCAGCCTGGGAACTACGAGGCCCACAGTGCATTGCGCGGCCAGCGAATTTTTCTGCGTTTGCGTGCTGCTATTAGGCAGCGACCCTTGGGTTGCATGGTTTACTAAGTGTTGAGGGTTCATTTTGCTTTTTTATGCTAGTTGTTACGTTAAATAAAAACGATAGATAGACTGTGGCTTGGTGTTGTGGCAAAAGCACTGGGTTCCATCCTCAGCTATTTTAAGTAGCTGTGTGACCCTAACCAAGTCCCCTGAGCCTCAGTTATATCATTGGCAAAATTTTCCTATGCTTTCATATGCTGAATGATCCTTTCATCTTCCTCCTCTAACTAAAATCTTTCTCTCTCCTAAGCATACAGCTTCCCCCTGCAGTGTTCAGTTGTTGGCTGTTTTCTCTTACAAACTCCATATACAACAGGACCAGAAAGTGTAAGGCATCCTACTTATTTCTCATTCACACCTCTGGCAATTATTGCCTCTGTAAAACCACCAGTCTGGGAGGGGACAGAGAGGTGGGTATATACATACATAATGAGTGAGATGTGCACCATCTGGGGGATGGTCATGCTGGAAACTCAGACTTGTGGGGGGAGGGGAGGAAAGAGCATTTATTGAAACCTTAAAATCTGTACCCCCATAATATGCTGAAATAAAAAAACTAAAATAGGCCGGGTGCGGTGGCTCACGCCTGTAATCCTAGCTCTCTGGGAGGCCGAGGCGGGTGGATTGCTAGAGGTCAGGAGTTCGAAGCCAGCCTGAGCAAGAGCGAGACCCCGTCTCTACTATAAATAGAAAGAAATTAATTGGCCAACTAATACATATAGAAAAAATTAGCCGGGCATGGTGGCGCATGCCTGTAGTCCCAGCTACTTGGGAGGCTGAGGCAGAAGGATTGCTTGAGCCAGGAGTTTGAGGTTGCTGTGAGCTAGGCTGACACCACGGCACTCACTCTAGCCTAGGCAGCAAAGTGAGACTCTGTCTCAAAAAAAAAAAAAACTAAAATAAAAATAAAACCACTGGTCCTTTTGGAGTTAATGTTATCACTCATAACTCTTCCTTGTGGAGGTCATCCATAAGATCTCCGAGTCACTGTACCTCATTCTGAGAAGATTTAGCACTTAATTTCCTCTCTCTTTGTACATTGCTCCTGGGATAATTTTTGGTGATTTCAATATCATTGTAGGTGACCTTTCCAATAATACCCTGGCCTCTTAGTTCCTTGATATGCTCTCCAATAAACTTGTCTTCCCTTCTGCCTCAGCCACTCACTCTTGTGGTACATACCCTAGACTTGTCTTTATCAATTACTGCAACCTCACCATAATCTCAAATTCAACTGCTGCCTTCTAACTTGCTAGCTCAATCCCTCTAAATCTCCTTATTCTAACAGTCCTTGGATCACTAATCCTATTGTCTCTTCACTATATCTTACTCACTTCACATTATGATCATTAACTTGAACACATCATCAGATCTTTGGCCCCTTTCTCTGCCAGATTTACGTAGCAAAACCCCAATTCCTATTAAATTTTTCTGCCTATTGCACACCTGCAGCTTAACAGCTAAGCACAATTATGATGCACATCACGAACTCAAAATTCGTGATGACTCAAGTTAGCTCTTGCGCCTGCTCCCTGAACCCTACTACTTTTCCCAAATCTCACTCTGCACACAATTATACATATCTTCTTCTCATCCTTAGATCTGTTACCTTCTCTCCCCTCCTCACTCTTAGATGATGTCCTTGATTCTTAGTTAATGGATGCTTCCATAAAAGAACTTCTATCAACAATTTACCAACCTGTCTATATCTTTGCCCATATAGTATTCCTTCTCTCTTGACAGTTCAGCTGAGCCAAGGTGTGCCTACCTAAGACCAGTCATTCCACTTACTATATGGATCACATTCCTTTCCTCCTACTCAAGGAGTTTGCTCCAGCATTTGTCCTCTACTCTCTCCTGCATCATCAGTTCTTTCCATCAGTATACAAACATGCTATAAAATCTTCCACTGGTTTAAAAAATAAAATCCTTTGACTCCAATGCCTTTCCAGCAACCACTCCATTTCTCTTTGTGGCAGAACTTCTCCCAAAAGTTATCTATACCCACCTCACCACTAATGGTAACTTGGCAAGGCCACTTGTATCAATTAGTGTTCTGTAGCTGCAAGCAGCAAAACTGACTCTGATGATTTTATTATGTGGCTATTGGGTAGCACAGGGAAAGGAGGGAAAGGTCAGAGAATAAGGCTCAAGAAGGGGCACGCCTGTGTGTCAATCTACTCAAGTTTTTTTTTTTTTTTTTTGAGACAGAGTCTTACTCTCTTGCCCAGGCTAGAGTGCTGTGGCGTCAGCCTAGCTCACAGCAACCTCAATCTCCTAGGCTCAAGCAATCCTCCCTGCTCAGCCTCCTGAGTAGTCCGGACTACAGGCAGTGCCACCATGCCTAGCTAATTTTTTCTATATATTTTTAGTTGGCCAATTAATTTCTTTCTATTTTTAGTAGAGATGGGGTCTCGCTCTTGCTCAGGCTGGTTTCGAACTCCTGACCTTGAGCGATCTTCCCGCCTTGGCCTACCAGAGTGTTAGGATTATCTACTCAAGATTTATGTCCCAGCCAGTCCAATTTACCTTTTTGTATAGCTTAATGAATTATTATAAGGTGAATATTCTTGTAACCACCACTCAAGACAAAAAAATAAAACTTTTGCAGTCATTACAGAAGTCCCTCCTTCCTCTAAAAGTAACCCCATTCTCACTTTTTATATAATTACTTCCTTGCATTGTCTTAAAGTCCTATCACCTGTGTACTTCTCTAGACACTATAGTTTTTAGATTTCTCATGACTTTTTTGATTTTGGTCTTTCCAAGTTTTTTTAAGTAATATTATTTAATATATAAGTTCTCCGCGCGCTGTGGCTCACCTGTAATCCTAGCTCTTGGGCCGGGCGCGATTGCTCAAGTTCAGGAGTTCAAACCAGCCGAGCAAGACGAACCCGTCTCACTATAATAGGAAAGAAATAAATGGCCCAACTGGATATATATATATAAAATTAGCCGGGCATAGTGGCCATGCCTGTATCCCAGCTACTCGGGAGGCTGAGGCAGAAGGATCACTCGGAGCCCAGGAGTTTGAGGTTGCTGTGAGCTAGGCTGACGCCATGCACTCACCTCTAGCCTGGACAACAAAGCGAGACCTGCCTGTCTCAAAAAAAAAAAAAAAAAAAAAAAGAAAGAATTAATGGGCCAACTGATATATATACTAGAAAATTAGCCGGGCATGTGCGCATGCCTGTATTCCGAGCTAACTCGGAGCTGGGCAGAAGGATCGCTCGAGCCCAGGAGTTTGAGGTTGCTGTGACTAGGCTGACGCCACGGCACTCACTCTAGCCTGGACAACAAAGCAAGACTCTGTCCTCAAAATAAAAAAAAAAAATATATATATATATATATATAATATATAAGTTCTCCTTCATTCTCCTCACTCCAACTTTTTTCTTACAATTTTTCTGTTGAAGAACTGGGACTATTTTACCTGAATAGTTTCCCACAGTCTAGGTTTTATTAATTGCAACTTCATGCTGCAGTTCAACATGTTCCACTGTCCCTGTCCTCTGTATTTTCTTCAAATTGGGACTTGGATCCAAAGGCTAGATTACACTCAGGTATGACCCCTTTGCCAAAACTAGAAATGCCTATAATCCTAGCACTCTGGGAGGCCAAGGCAGGACGATCACTTGAGGTCAGGAGTTTGAGACCAGCCTGAGCAAGAGCAAGACCGTGTCTCTACCAAAAATAGAAAAATTAGCAGGGTGTGGTGGCACATGCCTATAGCCCCAGCTACTCAGGAGGCTGAGGCAGAATTGCTTAAGCCCAGGAGTCTGAGGTTGCTGTGAGTTAGGCTGATGCCACAGCACTCTAGCCGTGGATGACAGAGCAAGACTCTGGCTCAGAAAAAATAAATAAATAAATAAATAGACTAGAAATGATAGTGTATGTCTTTTTATCAAGCAGCACATAATATCTTTATGCTGTTGACAGGCATTGGTGCCAAATGCTTAGATCCATTAATAGACTGGGGTTTGACAAATGTTGATATTCTAATTTATCATCTTTTTTTCATTTGTTATTGGGAATACTTTTACTTTTCTACTATTAATATTTGGTTACCTGGTGGTAAAGATATAAGAAAAGGAAGGATAAATTCTGAATTCTTTCCCTTTACTTACTAATTTTCAAGATAATGATTTGCCATCATCCTCTGAGTATGACCGATTAGGTTGTTTATATATATTATTTTATATACATACATAATGATTTGATAGATAAATATCTCATTATGGAATTCATAGATTTAAACATACTTATGGGGTTCAATCTATTGTAATTATTATCCCTATAGAGGTTCACATTGTTCCATCTTTGGCCAGTGGGAACCTGTTCAAATTAGCAGCCTTGCCATCTAAGACAGCAACAACTTCAAGGTTCATTCTGTACATTTCCTGCCTCAGATCTGGAATCAACCATTTCTCCAAGAAGCCCTAGTTTTTTTTATTTATTTATTTTATTTATTTATTTGAGACACAGTCTCACTGTGTTGTCCAGGCTAGAAGGCCATGGCGTCAGTCTAGCTCATAGCAACCTCAAACTCCTGAGCTCAAAGGATCCTCCCGCCTCAGCCTCCCAGAGTTCTAGGATTACAGGAGTGAGCCACTGCGCCCTGCCAGCACTGGTTTCTTTTAGAGAAAAATGGCATCTCAAGATAACAGTCTGGGTACTAAGAATGCTCATAGCTACTGAGTTGGCCATTGCTTCTACAATTCACTTATTTAACTAATACTCATTTAATGCAGCTCTGTGTCAGATACAGCTCTAAGCTTTTCACAAATATTAATTATTTAATCTTCATAGCAAATCTAGTACTATTCCTATTTTACAGATGAGAAAATTGAGATACAGGGAAATTAAGTAACTTGCTAAAGATAACAGAGTAAACAGCAGAGAGAGATTAGAACCCAGAGGCTAAGCCCTTACCTATCATGCTATACTTCCTCCCAGTTGACCTGCTTT